AAAACCAAAACCTCAATACTAACCCAAGCCATCATCATTCTTAAGAAAAGATAATGAAGACTTACGATTATTATTGAAGGGTTAATACACCACGAGAACTTAAACCGAAAGAGATACAAATCTTACACTCTTTATTTATGAACATGCATGAAGATAAACTTCAAGAAGAACAAGACACAAGAAGAACATAATGAAAGTTTAAGAGATTTTGTGAAAGAAAATGATGATTTTCAAGCTTGGAGTTGTCCCCCTTTTATAGCCAAATAATCCTCTTTTGTAGCTGAAGATTTGTAGCAATAATAGCATGATATCACCCATTTTTTGTTGTCTTCTACGTCATTGATGATATTTGACACCAACCATCACTAAAATGAGCTTAAAAAGTTCACCAGCTGCAGAAACAGGGGTAGTAGCGCCGCTACTAGGGTAGTAGCACCGCTACTATGCCGACAGAGGAAAGGTTGCCCTTGGCGCTACTTAGTTAGCGCCGCTACTGTGTCGGCAGCTTGCATGTCTTCACGGTTTTCGCTCGTTCGGGCTCGTTTGGACTCGGAATTGAGTTCCGTTTTTTCCTACGCGTAGCTAACGAACCCCTCTATACAATGATGCATGCAAACCACACTTTTGCCCAGAATACGAATTTTGTGGAATTTTCAACCTTTACAGGGTCGGTAACTTGCTCAGCTTTACATTTCAGCCCCGTTTGGATTCATCCGAACTCGAAATCGAATTCCGCTTTTTCTCACTTGTCGCTAAATAACTTATCTAGTTAGTTGTTTTTAAATGACCGCATTCCGAGCTTAATCCAATCCTCACGGGGTTTTCGACCTGCACAAAAAAAAAACAAGAAGAAAACAGGAAAAATACCGGAAAACGAAAGAAAAACACCAAAATGCTTACAAACACATAAAACACACATAAAACAATAAAAAGACTCTAAAACCAAATAAAAGACTCAAATTGGGGGAAAAAGAATAAGAAAATAAACACAAAAAAATGTAACAAAAATAGGACAAACAGAAAAGAACATAAAACGGGAATAGAAAACAACAAAGGCGTGCGTGCGACTGTGTGCTTTTATTTCTTCTGTCTGCATGTCTTCAATGTGCATAAGCTATTACTTCAATAGTGCGAGATCAGATAAAGAGGAATATATTTGATAGATATGAAAGGTCAGATCATCGGAGATGTAAGTTTCAAAAGCAGATCTACAGCACAAGGAACATGAGCATGTGAGGGGTATTTGAAAAGACGTTTATGACCGGCACGAGTACATAGGTCATGTACTCCAAGGGATTTACGGCTAGCGTGTCGGTTGGACGCATATAGAATGTTCTTGAACAAGTCTGGATAGCTCGTTCAAGAATAGGAGGCTAGATCATATAGCATTAAGAATAGCTTGAGTGGTTGACCTAAAGGGTTAGCTCAGTCGTTAACGGCTCAAGAAAGCTCCATCCGATTCAGCTTCTACGTTTCACAAACCCCGCGTAGTTTGGATGTCGGTAAACCAAGGAAGCTCGAATACCAAAAAGATCCAAGTACATCAAAGATCGGGAGACCTAAGGAGCTGAGTTGTCGAAGAGACCTTATGACCAGTAGGTCGGTTGGATTGAAGTCGTAGTTACAACCACAATAAAACTGATGGCAGGTAGATGAGAAGATCATAATGATGACCTCGGGACCTAGGAGTCGTGCAACAGGAGGGGAAACAATCCTTCGTGGATGGGAAATATATATGGTTAAGGACTCTTCAAGATTCCGGATATCTATTAGTTAGGAAAGTGGATACGGGAGGATCTCTTTGTTAACTAGGACTCTCTTGGCCACCAAGTTACCCTTAGGTATAAAAGGGTCTTCAGGTTATTTACTTTACACAACACACCTGCGCACAAAGATTTACATACATACTTTCAATTTTTATCACGAACAGACACTGATTTAGGTATCAGAGACTTTTCCATCGAGACCCCTCCCGACGTATTGGAGGTCATCGGAGCTTCGATGACATATTTCAAAAAGGAACAAAAATATAAGCATATTATTTGATAATATAATTATGTATTTACGAGATCTCCTACCTATCAGGTATGATAGATTGGTTCAACCAACAATAAGTCAGATTTAACAATAAAATTATATATAAATGGTGAAATAAGGTCACTGGCTTGTCGGCATCAAGAATGGCATTGGCTTCTAAAGTTCTCTTTTTTAATAGATCCACAACATCTTTAGGGGTATCATGTCAAAAATAATAAAGTGAGCTTGGAGAAGGAAAACCAAAACAATTTTTAATCACTTTTCACTAATGATTTTTTTAATTCGATCTTATTATCATCAATATTATCAATATAGTTAAATAATAACAATTAATCATACTTATACATCACGTCAACTTTAATTCACAATTCATCTACTAACATAATTTTAACTATTCATCACTTCCAATCACCTATATCATACTTTTACATTAAAATAACTTTAATTGTTTTATTTTATATAATATTTTAATATAAATTCAAAATTTCAGTCAAACTTAATTCAATCAACTTTTTTAAATCAATTATGATTAAAAAAAATCAATCAAAACCAAAATATCAACTCACATACTTATATCCAAGCACACCCTATGAATTCTATTTCTCATCCCTAATATATAAAATAATGGTCCAAAAGTTCTATAGAGTTCTCGTGCTAAACCATAATATCTCCAAACAAATTCTTGGACGACTCTATTTATAAATTTTATCATTTTGTACTTATTAAAAGTGGTTTGAGAAATCAAAAACCTAATCTAACAATAGGCAAAAAAAAAAAAA